ACACTTGCTCACACCTCGCGCCTGGCAAGTGGTTTGTTGTAGAAACACATTGCTTTAAGGATGGAACCACCATCTTTGAGCCCTGATATTAAATTTACTAATCCACTGTGACATGAATTGGAGTGTGCAATGAAAAGGAGAACCAACCCCATAAACACATGGACCAACTCCCCCAACTTGTTTAAGAAGAATGGGACAATATCCCACAAAACAGAATTGTTACCCGTGTTGAAGACTTGTCGCGCCGTCTACAGGAGATAATTGCAGTATACGGTAGACGCACACGCACACCCTAATGCTAATTGTGTGTGAATTTGGTGACATTTGGTGGCGTCTTTTCAATTTAATAAAGATTGCTTTACATCTGTAGAAGTCACAGTGAAACAGTGGATTTGAGGGGGTACCTCTTATAAATTTTACTAAATGGTATAAAATGTGTATATTTTCACCACTATTTTGTATTTTTTTTAACCATTCATCATGTTAGACACGGTATCTGTAATAAAAAGCAGTACAAGTAGCGTACATTTAGGATTCTGGAATCATTGGATGCCATGTTGTCTATGATGTTTAAAAGTTGTAAATACAAGAAAGTAAGAATAACGTTTGTTTATGGAAACAATGATAATCTTTATACATGTACCTGTACATAAAAAGCCTGCATGAGCTACATGTAATAATGCTTTTACAATATTGATTACAATGATTAATCTATGACGAAAATTTTTACAAGGCCTAGGCTATACACATTACTGCCAGTTCTAACATCAAGTAATACAGATAAGGTCGTTGATTCATTGCCCCATAGCAAACAAGTTTAATGTGACCGTCGTTAGTCGTAATAGCCGCGTGTAATCTGCGCTAGGCAACTTATAGGTAAAGACACCCATCGGCAATAATTTGACCCCCCCCCCCACACCGCAATTAAAGTAAATAAAAATGATTAAATAGAATTTATCTTAATTCATTTTCGTAGCTGTCCATCTCTCTTTGCGTAAGCTATTTCAATAAGTAAACAAATTCATCATGATTGTTATTAAATTTTGGGCTTGTGTTTCGATCTTTCTCGTGTTTTCAGCTTGAGATTAAAAAAATTACCACAACATGAATAGACAAAGGAAATAAATTTCTGGATTATCAGTTAAAATATAATACTTTGTACATATTTCTCAAATCGAGGTCAAACAACATAAATCAGTTTCTTGGCCGCTAAGGAGCGCGGTGTATTTCATTTTTATGACCCAGAGTGTCAAGGGTGAATGGACACTAAACTGTATTACCTACATGCTTCGGTAGGCAAGGTGTCCAGTGATATATGAAATTAAGGATGTATTGCCAGATAAAAGAGAACACTGTGCGCACAATCTTATAGGCGGGGTCCTACAGGTACATGACGTCTTAGGTTAGGCTATAAAGGTGCATGATATCCAATTTTATCATATTTCTTCACTTTTGCAAATCACCTTTAAAGTCAAGTACTTTGGAGTTTAATCCAGCTCCGCTTATTTAAAATGACGAGAAACCTATTTTTTGCGGTAGCGGTTACCATGTTGGGTGTTTTAAACGCCCAGAAAGATGTGATGGCGAATTCAACGTATCCTCTCCCAACGCAGAAAGTTAACAACTACATTGGCGCCGATGGCTTAGCGGCTTGGATAAAAAGCTGGCTGGGCGTACTAAGCCAAGAGATTTACACTGCCAGAATCAAGGATGAAAACCTTACGGCTGAAGTTGAAGAGCTACAGCGATCCGATAACAGCTTCAATAAAACTCTTCATGACGTTCAACAGAAAGTAAATGGGATACAATCCGTCGCCTCTACCCAAGCAGAAAAGGTGGCACTAACAAACCAGGTGACAACACTGAAGCAGCAGCTGCAACAGTTAAGAGATTCCTCACAAAGGGAGAGGACATTGCTGACGAACAAAATGCAGAGCCTTGAACTGCAATTGCAGCAGCAGTCCACACTGGTGAAACAAACATCCAAAGGTTTAAGTCAAATAGTCGCAGGTGCGTTGCTCTTAAATTTCAACATTCGCTGAGTACGTTTGCATTTTGATGAAAAAAATATAATTCTGTTCTTTGCGAAGCTGAGTTAATTCTTCTGTATTTTTTGCTTATTTGTTTGCTTTTAGAAAACTAATACCATTTTGTAAGCGTCAATTGATTTCAGATTAGGTCGGACGCAAGAACAATACAAGGGGTTTCAATGCGTATTTGGATACTGCATGGAAATATCTATATTTCAAGAGAAATCAGTGTATATGATATATGTTAAATACAAGTATTTATGAAAAGGGATTGTGCAAGCCTATCATATTAAAGGTTTTTATTCACTTATCTTAATAATTAAGAAATATTTCACTTTGTTTCAGGGCCAATACGTTTGGCAAATGGAGGTCATTCGCGTGAGGGCAGAGTGGAGGTCTTCTACAACGGGGAATGGGGAACAGTCTGCGATGACAGTTTTGACGAAAGAGATGCTGGGGTTGTCTGCAGACAGCTGGGGTACCCGACCTCCATTCCAATCGTTTACCAAAGCGCCCAATTAGGACAAGGTACGGGCAAGATATGGCTAGATGATGTAGGATGCACAGGGACTGAAGATAAAATTGCCTTTTGTACGCACAGTGTTTGGGGTAAACACAACTGTGGCCATCATGAAGATGTTGGTGTGGCCTGCGCGCCTCCCCCCATGCCCACACCAGCATTATAACACTGAATGTTTACACACTTTCCAAGGGATCCCAACTATACCAGTACATTTAAAAGCGGCGTCCAGGAAAGGGAGCTATCATTTGCTATGTATTTAGATAATATGTGCGATGTACAATTAGTTAAATTCGGAATCTAAACTCAGAGTAAGATTTAAAGTTCAAGAATTATATCTTTAGAACGCATTTCAACAAGGGAAATCTCTTCGTTAGGTGAGTAGCACTGTGGGGAAGTAATGCTGCGGGAAGCTTCTTTTATACAAATTTGAACACTAGCGGAGACCGGGGCTAGTTGGACCCCGGGGTAAGTTGGCCCCCCATCAATTTATGAAAAAAGTAACTCTGGGGTTAAAGAATTGATCACATCATTTTGTAAAGTGACCATATCCAATTGTGCTAAGAAACTGTCGGCAGTGAATCCAAATGAAATAATTTAGCATCTTAAAGTAACTGTATTTAAGAGACTTGATGGGGAGGCCAACTTACCCCGGGGTCCAACTAGCCCCGGTCTCCCCTATATACATGTAAGTTTACAAAGAAATCAGTAAATATATGTCACAGGCAGGATTGAAATTCAGGCTGATTTTAAATATGCCTAAGAGAAATTGAAATTTCAATCTTGCCTAGGTGAGTTTTAAATCGGCCTAGGCCAGATCGAAATAGAAATTAACAGACATTTTCAAATTATAAATTCATTAATCACATCCTTAATAAAGCCATTTTAGTTTTATATATTGATCTGTAGAAATAAACTGCAGCTGCGCTTAACAATAACAATGCTGAAGATTTTTCCTTTTCAAAATGTAGGATTTTAAAACACATATTTTAGTAAATAAACTGCTTCTTCTTGAATTTATCCGAGGATATTTGGTCATTTTTAACAAATAGCTCCCATGGATTTAAGTCGCAATACATTATCAAATTAACCATCAGTTATGACCCGAGGATGAGATGGGTTAGCTCGTAGATGTAGGAAATCAGTGTGAGAATTTACAAAACGTCGCTTTGAACAGCGTTTGTGTGAGTTGTGTGTGTGTGTGTGTGTGTGTGTGGGGGGGGGGGGGAACATACCCGCGTAAAAAGTCACTTTGTAAAAATAACTCGATTCAGGACTGGACCGTGTTTTAACAGCACCCTTTGCAGCGATGCGTAAGATGCATGGATAAGTGACTTACCCGGTACGTGTACTTCCTAGATTTCCTGCAGAGAACGTGACTTACATACGCAGATAAAAAATATTTTCTCATTATAAACGCTTTTAAATGAGAAGTGTAGAGTTCATTGGCTCCCCATCTGTCCACAAGCACACCCTATTCCCCACTTTAAACCCCATATTCTTTAAATACAACTAGTTATAATTTCAAATGAATAGGGTCTTATCATGTGTTGTAAAGGATACACATTGTAAAGTGCGGGTTAGTTCATTTGCTTTTCCTTGAACTAGAGTGACATCAGAATGAAGGACACAATACTCAACACATGGTCTCAACCACAAGTGTGCTTTTTGCTCACCTAACACATTCTGCCCCTTACAACCCTAGTTTTATTCACAAGTAGAAATATTGCCTCACATATCAACATCTCACATCCACTGAATAAACCATAGGACTAGCTTGTTTAATTTCATTATTCAGGGGTCGAAATCAGTTTTGTTAGTTGAAATTGCTATGCTTACGCCATGACTGTTGTCTGGTAATTTGGTGTATTCAAGGAGTTCCAACAGAACTTGGAACTGTTGGAACTCCTTGTTGCATTCAAACCAATATCAAATGTGACACTGTGAAACTAATTAAAATGTGACAATTTTATTTTTCATTGAACTTTGGCTCATTGCATGCCCTCAGTTCAGTGCACTTAATTTGATATTAATTAAAATAGCTGCGTTAGCATTTATTTGCCACTGAAAAAATGAACAAAAATCAACATTATAATGGAGAAGGTGACAACTGAAAGAAAATCAATATTAAATATAACATCCAGGGTTGATTATATTGCTTGTCAGGTAGTTTCACACAAAAGAACCTGTGAATGTAATGATTCTTAATAATACTATGTCTAGAAACCTCTTTTCAAAGCAAGTTGACTTGCACCTTTTCAGTCAAACTAATCTGATATTTAAAATACTGTTCTGTATTTTTAAATGCCTCACTTTTCTTACATTCTACATTTTCAAACTGTACCTTTTTTGACATGTCATACACAAATTTTCTCTCTTATGTGATAAATTACTTTTCAAAATATTTCATGTTTTAAGCATTACCTGCAAAAAAAAATACTTGGGAAAAATTATTAATTCATTCTACTCAAAATTAATAAATAATTTCCATAAAAACAATAGGCTAAGAAGAAAAATAAAGACTTAGAATTAGTTCACAGTACAGACAATTTTTACAATTTTATACAGATTCACCTTGGAAAAGTGACAGTGAATAGACAATTTTCCAGTATAGATAAGAATGACACAAGAACATAATATTTTAAGCTATTACCAATCCCAATCAACAACTGTGGCAAGTCTCCTTTTTAAGGTGCACAATGAGCATAAGACCTTACATCGTTGCAAGAATTAATTTTTCTAGACAGGTCAACATTTTTTCCTTCATCAGCAAGACATATTATATCCAATACCTTTCACAGACTTACAATCTATAAAACTGTCTTTAATTCCAAGTTTGTCAATTCTGTGTCACCCCCATTTTGGAAATGCATGCTTATAGATTATACAGTACATGTATGTATATACTGGTGAATTTTTTTTGTTGGTAAAAATTAGAAATTGGTGATAACGTGATATTGCTGTAATTTTTACGATTTTATCATTTTTTTTCTCCTTTGCAATTTGAAGGTCTCATGCGCATTGTTTGGCATAAACAATGTCATGTAACTTTTTTTTTTTCAATGTACCATTCCAGCCAGAAGCAATTCTTTCCTCTCTCAGATATCTCAAGTCAACTATACATAATAAGCAAACAAATCAAGATGTCCCCCTTCTTCTTGAATGTTTATTTTTTAGCCTTCGTAAAAATGAAAAGAACGGTATTGTCGTCTTTTTCTTCTTCTTTGGCACAATTGGAGTCAAGACAGTCTGTGACTTCGGCAACAATGCTTGTGGATTTGACATCATCAAACATGGAGGTGTCTGTGACACTTGGGAAGACGGAGCTGACATGAAGTTCCCGGTGGTCAATGCATTGGTCATCACCAATTTGTGGACGTGCGCTCGACAAACTATGCAGCATAAAGGCAGACTGCGTTGACTTATGGCGGCTTGGATTGTCTTGATAAAGCAGCGGCGGCAGACGACACGGTGTCCGCAAGGTTGTGTTACTATGGAAGCCTTGCCGCTGAAGCATATGATACACTGGAAAAGATAAAAATAAACAAATTGACACATCAGTCACCAGCAAATCACACAATACCCAGTGATCACAGTGACTCCTTGTTCTACTAAATAATTTCTAGGTCTTTATATATCAAATGTTATATAATTCAGTGATACAGCTGTATTCTATGGGAATTTAACTGTTATATTATATAACATTAATAACCTTTGATTAAACTGAATCATAGTAAGTTTATAAACGTGGCTCATAGCTTTGTTAAATCATCATCAATATTCAACCATTCACACTTCACACCATTCCCAATGAATATATCAACCTAGCTACATAAAATATGCACTTACTCCATGGGGACTCATGCTGAATGCAATCAGATTTCCATATTAACATGTTGGCATTGAGTAGAATATAGAAAACTGGTGATTATTATAATAAGTATGTTGGAAACAAGAGGAGGCATGTCAATGTGTTAATCTGGTTGCATTCAGCAAGACTCCCTGTGGAGTTAGTGCACAGTAGCTAGGTCTATAAATCCAATGTCAATGGGCCCTAAGTTGTCCACAGCACAGATTCAAATGAAAAAAAAAAAAAAAAAAAACAAAAGATCCAAATGAGTTTTGACATCTTGGTTACTGAATCCCCAAGAGCAAGAAAAAATCAAAGCGGATATTAAGTCTTCAAAGCGGAAGGCTGGATAAGCTTAGAGAAATGAAACCTTTGGAGAGCATTCAAATTACACAGAATAAGATCAAAAAGCCTTATTTGCATTTGCTTTAAATTGATTTATGGTTGCCTAAATGTATAACAGCAATTTAGTGCCATGAAACAAATCTTAATCTGAATTTGGATGCTCCTCCTTAATGTCGAATGTGGACTTCAACTTACAGTACTCATCCATTCAAACAAAGCATCAATATTTCATCAAATATTCTCAATCATTTTCAGCTTTTTTTTTTTTTCATTTTTTTTTTTTCAGAATTTTCTGTTCAAAACCAATCTTAATTACCTCAATGCCAAGCACCTGTGTATATATATACTGAACTTAAATTTTATAACATTTTATTAACATTTTTTCCTTTTATTGTAAACTCTCAACCATTAAAACACTGCTGGCTTCAGCTTCAACATTTTTTTTTTTTTTTTTTTTTTTTTTTTTGTGGTTTCAGTTACAGTATTTGAGGCAAATTTAACTAATTAATTGTGCAGTGTCCAAGACATTTGAACAACATTGATATCAAAATGTAAGTCACTTGAACATGGACAGTTAATTATTTTGTAAAGCATGTAACTGGCACGAACAAAAAGTTCCCAATGTCAGAGCATTTTTTTTCCTAAGCAAACAGACTTCATTAATCTTGACATTAAGGTCTCATGTCTGAGTGAGTTCAGGTCTCTTCTGCAGAACAAGTAGGTGGAATAGAGAGACCCAGCTGATATTCATCTCCTGCAGTACAAGTAGGTGGAATTAAGAGACCCTGACATTCAAACTGTGCAAATCCATTAGGAGAAATTTGCTCTGCACTCAAAAGATGTATGTACACAAGTCACATTAAGATTTGATTGAAACTTAAAACATTTGGATCTTTATTATTAGTAAGTCGTGTTCCCAATCAATTTAGGCAGCCTAATTTAGTAACACACATTTCATTGGGGCATCTGGTTATCATCATTCAGTCACCACTCATAGGTGTAGCTGTTGGTCATCTTTGTGAGAATCATCCAAGACAGTTCAAAGTCTATAGTGACTTAATTGGCGTATAGACAAGTCAGATTTTGAAAGATCTGAGGAGAGTGGGGGTGGAAATATTGGCAGACAAGTGTACTGAATAAAACAAAAGTACGAAACTGACAGTATTTATCTTCAAAGATTTTTCTGGGTTTTCTTTCCTATTTCCAAGTTCTGTCAAATTTCATGTACAGTCTAACTGTATGGCACATTATGAATTCAGGGGCGGATTGAGGCGGTCTTCTGGGTCTTCCGGAAGACGGTCAGATTTCTAAGTTTACATTGATGAGTACCTAATTTTTTCTGTCGGAAGACAGTCAAAAAAGGGGGTTGAACAACAATTATAATGTGGAAGACTGTCAGAAAATATTTCTGGATCCGTCCCTGGAATTCACCATGTTTTGCAGGGAACTTCTGTAAATGCTTTGAGACGACATCCCCAGACAGTACATAGAGTTACAACTTTCATTTATTACTACACTGTAAAACCTAGCTTAACCTCATGCAAAATTCTTGCACAATTTCTATATAGTCATGCAGGCCCATAGCTATAGGAGGGGGGTTTCAGGGGTGGATCCAGAGATATTTCTGATAGTCTTCCAAGTTATTTTTGTTGATCCATCAAATACATGTATGTTCTTGGTTTATTTCCCCTTTTTTAAACAACTAGTTTTTCCTAAGCCCATCTGAATACACAGGGGCAATTATTATCAACAGCTTAATACTATATAATACTACAGACAGTGTTTATCTGCCTTGCACACACAGCATAGTTCATCCAGCCACCTGTCTAATGGGATTTCACAGAGATCATCTAAAGTCTTATGACTTACACGTAGAGTGCATTCAGAACAACAAGCAGACTAAGGCCCCATTCAGATTGAGAAGAGCCGAGGGCTAGCTAGGCCACGACCTAAATAGGGCGGACCTACATGAAAGGAAGACCGCTTAATCCTGTAATGGTCTCTCCCCTCTCACACACCTCCCAAGGGCAGTCCCTGCAGAGGCACAGTAATTAAATCTCGGCTCAATTCAACCGGTCGAGATTCGACACATGGAGAGGCATGCTAGAGGCATAGACCATTACAGGATTAAATGGTCTTCCTTTCATGTAGGTATGCAATATTTAGGTCGCAGCCTAGCTAGCAATTGGCTCTTCTCAATCTGAATGGAGCCTAACAGATCCTCGGAACAAATATGGCCGACTCACTTGAATGCTTGTTGTAATTACTACCAAGTAAGGATACTGATATGAAGACCTGTTGCAGGCAGCTGATCTATAATCCCAAAAACAATAAAATAAAATAAAATAAATTAAGATAAAATAAAACAAAATGAAAATACCTACTAGTAAATGCAAGGACTGATCCAGCTTAACAGAAAAGGGCTGGGGGGTGGGGGGGAGGGGGTCAAAAGTCAACATGTCATTCACCCCAATACAAGACACCAATCCACCACAACATACATGTACCAGTAGTTACGTATGAAGAAAAAGTCATTAAGGAATGAAAACTGAAAATTGCATACTGTATGAGTTCTGACATTTTCTTCACCCCTGATATACATGTATGTTCTGAGAACAGGACCTAGGGGATATACATATCCTGAACCAAATGTTAGATCTCATGCCATTAAATTATACACCAGTGTCCAGGACATGATTCAACATTTGTTCTTTAATTTGTTTGAAAGTACAATGGATTGATCGAATCAAAATATTATAAACATGAGCCTTAGGTTTCGATAAAAAAACCTCTGAACATTTATGTATCAATTCTCAGACAAGACGATTCTCAAGAATCATCAGAATTGAATAAAAGAAACGTGGAATTCTGCATTTCAGCAGATATAGCTCATCTCTGATATTATGTGCACTATGAAGTATATGTAAATGAAATAAAAGGCAATTTGGGTTCTTCACCAAAACAGAACATAATTAACATACATCCTTATACAATTTTGACTAAAAATTGCATTTTCTTTCTACAAATTTTGAAAGATATATTGTGACAGTGAATGTGCCATCACAATTCCATATTTTTTAGACTCCCACTCTACTATTACAAAGCACAGCATTCATCGATATTCTCATAAAACTGCCGACAAAACACTTAAGACCAGTTCAAACCCACTTTAGGATGGGATGTAATGGCAGTAATTAAGAAAATGGATCTCAAAATAGTCTAAAAATGACACTGCATGAATAAGATCATCACTTCAAGGGATTCCACAAATCACTTTCAAGGCTTTTCCAGAGCCTTCATGTTTGCATGTTGATAGTAGTGATCAGTCATACCTTTTCTTTGAAATATACATGTATGGCCTGGCGCTATGTTTATTTTTCTCTGAATCACTAGGATTACTAAGTCTTTGTTGATTTGTGCGGTGACAACTACAGACGTAGTACAGGAACAATATCATAGTCACTGCGATGGCTGATTATGTTACATGTACATGTACATGTGCAACACTGTGCATTCACAGGCCCGTAGCCAGGGGGGTTCGGGGGTTTCGAAAGAACCGCCCTTTTTGCTGGGAAAAGGTCCACTCTGGGTACAATTTGATCTATGTGCTTGAGGATTTTATGGTAGAAGGTCCACTTTTTCAGAAAACGACCCCCCCCCTCTCTAAAATTGCTGGCTACGGGCCTGATTCAAAATAGATGTACATTCAGTACTCTCAAAAGTACAATTTTAAAGACTACCTTGTAGAAGGGGTACTGAAGTTTACTGTTTCATGCACTGGTATGTACATTACTCCAGTAGAATAAAAGCTGGTAAATTCATTTTGTAATTTTACTTTCTGCCATATGGTACTAATCTAAACATTTTTTTTTTTTGTTCATTAATATGACACTTTTCTTCAATAATTTTAGAATTATCTTTTTGGCAATTAACAACTGAAACATTGAATATACATAAATCCCTAAATGACACAATGATTTTAATTGTACTTATTAATCACTTTCATTCACAGTATTACCCAAGTTTTTCACCACCTACATGTTATATACCTTTCATTCCTCATAACAGTACATGCAGTTATGGAACCAACTACAGCTAAATCAGCCAACAATTCCTCAGAAAATAAGCTACGACTTTTAAGGCACATTTCTGAAGGGAAATGCCCCATTTCAAACCATTTTTCTGCAGCTCTGCAGTTATTTCTACCAACTACATTTCCTCAGAAAATGAGCCACAAATTTTTCGGGACATTTTTGAAGGAAAATGCCCATTTCAAATCATTTTTCTGCAACTCTGCTGATACCTAGAGCCTGCCCCCCCCCCCCCTCCCCAGAGAACAATCAAGGGGCATGGCAAGATTTGGAAGAAAAATGACCATGCATGTCTTGTTGGATCAATAGTCTCCCGTGTAAGACAAGAATGATCTGTCAATAATTTCCCACTCGTAGCATGAAAAAACTTGTATTTTGAGGCTATTTATTTGTGCTGAAGCCACTGTCTTGCATACAAAATTACCCATGACATGTTGAGAACTCTTGCCGTCTGCCTAAGCAAAATGTGCGACAGTTGCATTTGTATAAAAATTGGTCACATTTACACTGAAAAAAAAAATTGGTCTTAAAAAGACTTGGTTTTAAAAACAGTAATGTCACATTTACGTTCAGACTTAATTAATCTGGTACCATGCTGGTCACATTCACATCAAAACTTGATTAGATAATTATATCTCAGGGTGCATTACCAATGAAACTTGGTTTCTGGAGGCTTTTTTCACTACATTTTGAGTGTGACCAAATACACATGAAAGTTAATAAACCCCTTGCTGCTCAAGGAGGCGTCATTTAGTTAATCTGAATGCATTCAGCGAGAGTCCTGAGAGTTAAATCGATTTACCGGTAGCTAATACAATAGTTTCATTGGTAATGCACACTGATTAGAAATGAAAAGATAAAAGTATGCCATAAGTTAAAGGCATTTTATATGCCCCAGGGCCAAATGCTAAAAGCCGTGTGTGTGTGTGTGTGTGTGTGCATGTGTGTGCGTGAAAAGGCTCAAGATAAGCACGCAATCATAACTATGGTCTGGTTCTTTTGGCGACCTGAATTATAGGCTGACATTACATCATTATATACAGCACCTGCTTTTATTCCAAAGACACAATCAATCAATCACATTCTCCAATGCTGTAACTCAACTGGAAATTGTGAAGAATTACGTGACAGCTCATGCAAAAAAAAGACGTAATTTACCAAAATAAAATCGAAATGTGTCTGATGGGTCTGACACCTTTCAAATAACATTCAATACAAATGTAACATCTGAAATAATATACAAGATACATGCATGTCTGCTGGGTTAATTCACACCATTTTCAGTGCATTATGATGAGGTGCCAATCAGTTTAGAACCGGTTTGTGGAATTCAATTTGGTAACATTTAAGTTTTATTCATTTGATTATTTCCAATCATGAATGGGAATGCATATGACTCCATTGCCAAAACCACTGTGGCCATCTTTGTATTTGACAATACCTTATATTAGTGATAAAGCTCGGTAAAACAATAAATGTTGTTCTTATGAGTCATCTCTTGCCATAAGCCAATGACTTTTTGGTATAATGAATTTTTGGAAAACTTGTGAAAGATCATAAACTCCCCAAGGCCAGTCAAAGGGGAATACACAGTTCAGTTATATATACCAGTACCCCTCAATGTGAGAATTAGGGCCTAAATCTGTCAAATGTGAACCCTGCCTGTAGTTAGTTCCTTGTTCATTGGTTTTTGCAATCAATTCAAGAAGGCATCGCAGAAGCTAAAAGCATGTACCGTAGTGTTATGTACACCGCATTGGGAATTACTGGATTCGTATTCAAAACACAAATTAGGATTTTGTCTGCTTCTGGAGTCCAAAACCAATTCTAAGGCTATCTAGGAAATGTCAAAGAATTTGGAAATGAAAAAGGAGATGTCATGGCATAATGAAAAATGGGGCAAAGGTTTGAGCTAGGAAACGGCTTTCTGACTTGGACTAGAACTTCATTTTCTGTAATAAATTGCCATTTATTCTTGTAAAGCAACATTGCTTAATAAATAAAATAATGTGGATTGCATGCACTTACAAATGTGAAAGTCTTTTTTTTTATTATAATATGTAATATTATTTTAATTTTGGCATCTAAAAAAAGGAAAACAAAAGAAAACTTTCTAAAGGGGAGTCGTCCAAGGGTTCACTTCTGTGATTTTAAAAAATGGAAACTTGGAAAAAAAATGACTATGGTATTAAACTTATGTCATGTTTGAAATTTTAGATTTATTACTTCAAATAATTTAATTTTTGGGGAATGGATTTCTGCTTAATATGTCATTCTGTTTCCATGGTGAATACTTTATTATTATGGTTGTGTTGTTTTGTAATTTGTGTTCACAAAATCAATACGATAATGAATATAATAAGTACAATGAAGGTCTTTTGGAAAGTTTTGAAATCCCTGTCAAGTGCAATGTGTAAACAGATAGCACGCAGTCATCTCATATGCCAATACCAATAGCAAATGTATAACCACAAGAACGAGGCTCATCTCATGAAAAAATACCAAATACAAGATGGACAGACTTTTTACTTGACACAGTGGGTTATTTATACCAGTATGTTTTTCCAACCATTTTTTAGTCAAAATTTAGTGGAGGATATCCAAATACCAATGACAGCATCTTAGTCTAAAGAAACTATTATAATACTGATCAGCAATAACTGAAATCTTAAAATTATCATAAGGTTCACGTGTAATGACAATTTTGAACAAGATGCAGAAAAGCAAAACAAAATTGGTTTGGTTAAATGTCAATTATTTCTGTAGCAAGGCTAAAAAGTTATTTAACCCACACACATACACAATATTTAATAAAAAATAAAATAGGAAATATAAAAGTATGACTTTTGGGGAAATATGAACAGTTTGACGAGGCCAATCTTCGTGCCCAATCTGTACTTTTAAAGTGCAGATGTATTTCTCTGAATGGCAAGTCTCTTAATCCCACTCAATTCAAATATTGCTTCCCAGATCTCCGAGCTCATGTTGCACTTAACCATGCAGTCATCTTAATATGATAGCTTAATAATTCCACTTACCCAATAATCTTTAAGACAAATTCATTTGAGAATTCTACTAATCTTGGAACTGCAGCCACCATGGAAGTATGGCGCTGACTCAAAAATTTTAAACTTAAAAATTTCTAACAACATTTTTCATATGAATTATCCATTGCTATTCACAAAAACACAGTTTTTGCTCAGTGGATCTTGACTTGCTTTTTGGAACTTGTTTATCATTCTTTAAACTGAAAACAAGAAATATCTGGTGTGGTAATACGTGTTACTAACTTGCATCTTGTCTACATGTATTTTCTTAGACAATAATCATCTTGGGTGATTAAATATAACAGAGATTTTGCACCAATACAGGGTGGTACATTTGAAATGGAGGACAAAAGTTACCATCCTTGTTAAAAAATTGCAGATCTGAAGTATGAACATGGTATTCATAAAACTGTCTTCCAAATTGCTTACTTTACGTATTTCTTTATAAATCAATTAGTAAAAGCAAGTACAGTCACTATAATCCACTGCTTTCGAAAGATGTAGCACAAAGGACCGTGCAGCTTCTGTGGCTGCATTCACATTGAAACTTTTGCTCTATGTAGATCGATCCTACTCCACATGGAACTCTCACTGAATGCAATCATTAACTGCATGAAAGACATACCTCGAGCATCACGCAAAAAGTTATTCACGCCCTAGCTGCTGGAGGAGGTGTGTCATTTTGTTGATCTGACTGCATTCAGCGAGAGTCCCCACAGAGTTGGATGTATCTACCAAGTATCATGGTCTCAATGTGAACGCACCCTATGATGGTTACTTATGAAGACTGTGTGCTGTGTGCCTATACCCCTTTATGCCCCCCACCCCCAACCTCCTCCTAAAACGCACACATGCATACTTAAGCACTCGATCCCCATTCCACAAACTTTGTTGTTTTAATCACTACAAAATATATTAAACATATCATCTTTTTTAAATGCATGTATGATTTGTTACGCTTTCAGAAATCTAATTTTTAAATATAAATTACTTTGGTTCTGTCGTTTTAGACATATTCATTTTAATGACCATAATTGGTATTCGATTGAGTACACTTTTTATATATATATATATATATATATATTCTGGACAATTGAAATAACTGCTAAAGATCCATCACCCAGACTGAGCATAATAAATCTCAGCAAACATACCAGAACTTATTTTAAGAAATGAATGGAGACGACAATTCTATAGATGATAGATATGGTAGTTAATGTATAAGAGTTAAAATTATTTATGCTATTATTATTTTGATTAGTATTATTATTATTATTTCTGGTATCATTTTTATTTATTTCCATTTGCACTGCATAGTGCACAATCATCATTTATACATGGTAGATTTGCTACATAACGCGTTCTTCTATGATACAGTGTAGTTAGCCTTGCCCTGGAAAAACCAGGCACAAATCTCAATGCTCCACTTCCCTGCCAATTACACTGACGAGAATTGCAACTGCCACTGCCGTTATGCAGTCCTGCAAAATTTATGAGGACAAATCACATCTTCTTACGAGCTAAATGCATTAAGCAGTACACTTCATTTGACAATGTCATTACGGTGAAAGCAAGGTTCTCTCTAACATCATAAATGACGTCATAATTACACATGCGAAACCAGGGTACTTACATTTTACCCTTGAGGAGTGTACTGAGAGAGAGAGAGAGAAAGAGCACTGGCAGACACTGGAAACTACTACTTGTAATTGTTTTGGTTCACTTCCATAGATATGGGAAAAATCAGAAAAAAACTAAGATGTATTGCATCATTACCCCCTCCCCCAAAATTTTTGTGCAACTAAAAACCCCCTTTTGAAAGAAATCACACCCGAAAATGCACATAAGGAAGCATACAGATATAGAACATGTTCCGTTCAGTTTTCAAATCATTGTGTATAAATGCCTAATTTACGTTTTTTCTGTCTACCTCTCTGTCTATTTATTCATCTGTATATATTCAGCCATATCTTGACATGCACATGGCCACACTCACCTTTCTGTTTACTGTCCATCTCTCTGTCATTCACTCCATCCCTCCATCTATCAGCTGTTCTTCCATCTAATACTGACTATAATTTACATTTATTCATTCTTTGTCACTGTATTGTTTAATTTTTTTACTATGAACTTTACTATACCTCTTCATCTTCTGTTTCTGCAGGTTCTGGTTCGTGGTGGTCTAGTCGCGAAAGTAACCGGTCCTGAAATGCACCAATAAAAGTTATAAATCTCCATGTTGAATTGATATTTTACATGATAGCTTTTTTAATTTTCAAAACAAGATTTACTGCTGTGTGTGGTCTAATGAATTTTAACTGTCTCCATAATGTAATACATGGCCATGGAGGACATGTTCTTGTATCCATGATAGAAAGTACACAGAACACAAATGTGGCTGTTAAATCAAAGGCATTATTTACCCATTTTATTATCATTATTTCAGTTTTTTCCGTTTTTTTATTTATTTATTTTTTTTTTTTGCCAAACTTTTCATTTATTAGGTGAATATTTTATTTATTGAAACTATTTTAAGCAATCATCTACCATATAAGAGAATTAAGGGTTATCCAAAAGAGACCCAAAAGTAAGTGCATCTACAGGTCCTGAAATCTCATCTAAAGCACATTTACCTGCAGTATACATAAGCATACCATACTTCTCTCTTATGTACATACCAGAAATTATACCCGAATTATTGACCACAAAGGTACATCAGATCTACGTAAGCAAAATACAAATTATGTGGTTTGATTGCTTTTATTATCACCTGGATTACATATACTGCACCTGTGTTCCAACAGCATGAAATCAGGGAAGTTAGAACTTTAACCTCAAACACAGACAAGTAATGTGTGTAGACCCATAGTGAGGGGAAGGGGGGGAGGGAGGTCTGTGAGGTTAAAACAAACTACCCTAAGTTTCTGACGGGAAAAGGTCCCCTCCAAGTAAAATTTTATCTTAGACTAGGTACACAAATGTTTCATATTCATTTTTTCAGAAAAAGACCACCCCCTGAATAACCTACAAAAATACATGAACACACTTGAAAATTTAGTTGGTCTTGAAAATTTTGCTGGCAATTTTTTCACTTTGAAAATGTAATAAAACTTTAAAATGGGCCTCGATAATTTTGATAACTTAAAGTTTGTCACCTGTTATGACCATACTGTTGATTCTTCAGCAGTCATATGTAGCGCACTATTAATTCACTTCACTTTTAATGCAGTCAGTTTATAATTAAAATTATATCCTTGTAGTGAACACTCAGTCCCCCAAAAAACAAACAAGCAAGCAAACAAACAAAAACATATCACTGGACATGCAATCAACCACAATAAAGTAATTACCCACATCATCCTCTAAGACATACATCATATTAGTCATTTTACATCACGGGTCATTTAGTTTTATTTCATCCACTACACAAACTAAACCACTTTAATTACATTCCCTGTAGCAAACACTCGGTACAAAGAAAAAAAAAATAGATGGGTCCTCCGCAATGGAGCAGAAGGGCGACTTCAGTTCCAACAGCCCGTAAATGTCACTCAATATCTTAATCACCACATGGCGAGTATTTCCCGAGAGCAACGATACTGTATCCCTTGTGGCCAATTATGGCTAAGAAAAGAATATGGCATTTGCACTGTGCTATGAGCAATTTCTAAAGAGTACTAAGTACTGCATTGCTTTGTATTGTTGCCCCTTGGACTCATAAGAAAGCAATGCGGTTATGTACTCTTATATAAAATATGTTGTTTCAGAAGGTTAATTAACATATTTAGTACAACAGTGATTCATCACCCTTGATAAACAAGTGATTTTTTAAAAAGGCAATGCAGAAGTTCTGACTTCTCAATTTTTGAAGAAAAAAAATCAGCATATTTAAAAATTGTATTGATTTTATTATTCACATTTACATAAAAGAATCTATGCTTATGGAATATCCCATGATGTTAGGTCAAAACCTTTGTAAAATTTGTGCCTGTACATGTACTGACAAAGATAGTCATAATTCTCCAGATCTCCAGACCATATGTAAAATTATTGACAAACTTTTAAAAATTCTGACGGGTAATGTTATCTGTTCAGTTTTCAAGATACATGTATCTGTTGACGAGGTTACAAAACAGTATGATAGTAATTCACTTCAAAAGATCAAAAATTCAAAAACTATCTTCCCATATATCAATCAATATATAGTCAGTTTTCAAAATTAACTGTGTGTTACTGAATTTACATTTAAGAACAAGTATATAGAAAGTCAGCAGCAAAAGAATATTTTAAAGCACTTTTTTAATTTAAATATTATTAAAATAGTAAAAACAAAGAATGATGCAGTCTTATATATTGCACAACCAAAGAATGCACTACGTTAAAAAAAAACATGACAAATGAATACACATGATGGCAATATTTGACTGACGTCTTAATGCTCAGACATGAGAAGTAATTGCCTTGAAGCATGCTGTGACAATTTTGGAAAATCTGAAATCCAGGAAATTAGTCGCAATACTGGTAATTATCAAACCAGCTGAGACTAGGGAGGTTTTATCCAATAAAGCGGACAAGTACATCAAAAGCCGAGGTTGCACTTTTTTTTTTTTGATTTTCCTGAGGTAAAGAATTATTTTCCCATGCTCATCAATGGTTAATGAATCCATTCCACTGTTCAAAGTTAGTGGTGCAGTTTTTTTTTTTTTTTTAGTATCTTATGAACATAGCCATCTACGAAGGTCCACGTGTCTGATGACAAGCACAGATTCAACAATAATTTGGGAACACCATCATTTTGGTGGTAAAATGGAATTTATTACATTTCTATGAGTGATTTACAAGGTATTTGTCATGATATATTCATGAATCTCATACAAAAATTTATTATCCTTTTAAACTGATCCCTCCCACCCTCCCAAAAAAATAAAACACTCTAACAAAGATCTTACCACCCATTTCATAACCATTGCATTATAGATAAAAGATGCCATTACCAGATAGCAGAATGTCAGGCAAAAGGCAATAGATTCTGATTTGTGTGGCAAATTAGATTAATTGACTAGAACTGGAGGGGTGGGAGGTTAAGCAGCTGTTCTCAAGTATGTAAATTTGTTTCGTGGACCCCTGATTGTGGGTACACGCATTGTCAAAAAGAGGTACACATATAGTATGGTGTTTTGACTGCAGTATGCATATGCGTATGTTTGTGCATGTGTCCATGCATAAGAGTATGCCAGGGCTTTTTCATGTACAAATGCATGCAAACCTCTGTGTGTATGTGTGAGTGTGTGTGTGTGTGTATGCAGTCCTTCAGCATGAATTGCCCATAATACACGACAAGATAGAGCAGCTACATGTACATGTGCTCCGTACACACAGCGTGGGAGGCCATAAAAATGTGCGCCTGTATAGATTATCTATAGGAGAAACTGAAGACTCCAACCCAATCATTAAACACTCAGACTCAGAAGATCCAGACGCAAACACACACTGAGCTGTGCTGTACATTAATTAAGAAAATATTACAGCAACCTCTATTGATCAGATTGGGCAAATATCATCAAACTGCAGAACTCCTTTACAAGTACATAGGCCCAATATTTCAGTACTTCTACATGTATACATGGACAATTACTATCATGGGGATATCATTCTGTTTGAGAGTTGTAGAAATTTTAAACCAGTAAATACTATGTAACATACCCCAAATGCAAAAGACCTTGCAAAAGAAAAATAACCAACTGACAGATGTATCATTTATTGTGTATATTTCTTTCTTCTATTTTTTTTAAATAAATTTGACTTATGTGATTTTTAATAATATTATTTACAGATCTATGTAAACATACTTTTGCCAGCTGAGATTATGGCATTCAAGACAGATGAGCTAAGAACTTAATTATTCAGAACATTGATACAGTCAATCTTAGTATCTAACATCTGATATCAAATTTAACATAAAAATAAAACCAAGGATAACGATTCCAGATTACTGCACTTTTTCCAAACAGTAAACTTTCCAGCTTGACCTTGGATAGAAAAAAAAACCCACAAACATAATTGCGGTGTACTATTAATAAAACGCAATACAGAAATGAGGCAATTTCGTCTCAGACGGGAGATTAATGGCTCATTCCATCTGGTCGGGAAAATTGCAATCAGATCTGTCCCACAATTCCCTTGGGATAACACCAACCTGCGCAGCTGTCGATCCAATGAGGATCTTTCTTTTACGTCAATTTTTTTTGCTTGTTTTTGCACAAGGGCACTTAAAAGGGTATGAGTAATAAAGAACAAGTGAAGAGACAGCCTTCAGGAAAAGAGTTGTTTATATAACTATCTGGCCTCAGGAGCTGAATCCTTGGAGGATATTAAGCAGGTTTAAAGGCATGTCTTGTTGAGGATAATGTGGTCTTTATTATGGCTGAAAATATGGTTAGGATTTAGTCTCAGGGATAACCCAAATTATAGTAAATGGAATGAAAAATTCTAAAAAAAACATACATTTAATTGGATTTTATATCAACAACAATAATAATAATTCAGTCAGTTCCATGTGTAAAATGGTCCAGTGTCATGATGCACAGTTACATGCACATGCACATGTACGCATGCACGTGTACATAAACATGGAGTCACACCAACCACACACACACACACACGCACACACACACACACACACACACACACACACACACACACGTGCATACTGGCACTCATGTGTATACATGCAACATCTGGCCTGTTTCTTTCAAGAAATAAACTGATGATAAAGATGTGAAAATTACCTATAAGAGAAAGAGCACCAGAGAAATATATCAATATTTATTGGTATGAATCCCACATCAAGTTGCTATTTTGGTGGATATAAATCACATGTACAGTGTATTATCATCAAAATAAATAGAATAGTCAAGCTTTTGAATCAACACGGTCAAAATTTTGTTGATTCAGAATGTTAACNCGAGAGAGAGAGAGAGAGAGAGAGAGAGAGAGAGAGAGAGCACTGGCAGACACTGGAAACTCCTTCTTGTAATTGTTTTGTTTCACTTCCTTAGATATGGGAAAAATCAGAAAGAAAACTGAGATGTATTGCATCATTACCCCCTCCCCCTCTTCCCCCCTCCCCCCAAAAATTGTGTGCAACTAAAAAAAAACCCTTTTTAAAGAAATCACACCCGAAAATGCACATGAGGAAGCATAC